AAAATATTGAAAAAAATATTACACGAATGTAATAAAATATATTAAAAAATATTATAAATTTTTTAAAAATAAAGATATTTAATAAAATATTATAATTTTTAAAAAAATAAAATTTATTGCATTTTATAAAAATAACTAGAATAGTAATATATATATATATATATATTTAAAAACATATTTTCTTAAACTCCATATTTCTATTATGTTTTTTTTTTTTTGTTGTGAAAATTAGATTGTTAAAAATATTTATTCAAAACTCGTATAATTATAAATTATTTTTTACGCACCAACAAAATCGATACATCAAATTTTGTATTGATAAATTTATTTATTTTATATTAATATATATAGAATAAAAGAAAATTCAAAAAATATTAATATATTAAAAAATTATATATCTTATTTATTAACACACATCAATAATTAACATATAATTTTTTTCTTATTTTCAATAGCCGAACAAAATAAAAAGTAAAAAAAAAAAAATCAAACTGCAAATAATAAAAAAAAGTTTGAGGAATTTGAGGTATAATGAGAATTAACGTTGACAAATAAATTGGGGCATCATAGCAAAAATATTATTCAATATGTCATATGATATGATTAAATAAATTAAAAATATAACTAAAACTAATATATACGAATAAGTTTAGAGATAAATTAATAAAAAAATAACATTTATAATATTATTTAGTTACATCAACTAGTATGACTATATAAATTAAAAGTATAACTAAAACTAATATATACGAATAAATTTAGAGATAAACTGATAAAAAATAACATTTATAATATTATTTAGTTGCATCAGTTAGCATAACTGAATAAAAAATGTGATTGTATTTTTTTTCTTTTAGTATACAAGACAAATTTTACAATATCTATTAATTGTATTGATTGGTATCGCTTAACAAGGGAGGAGATCATATATATATATTCTTATTTTGAATTGAAAGTAATATATATTAATTTTGTAATTGGTAAGATTTAAAACCTAAATATCTTAATTTAAACCCAAAAATAAATACGGGTCGGGCCATATTTTATATGACAAACTAATTCTGCCATTAATCTCAACAATTGTACAAAAAAAAAAAAAAAGCGATTAATTGTTGCAAATAATCTCATTGGATCCTAACGTGGTAGAGCAAAGAAAATTGTCCGTGAGGGTAAAATGGTAATTTCAAGTTTGAATATCTCCTCTCGATGCGCGGGAAATACCCTTCCCTCGCCAATGAATTCCTCTCTCAAAACCCGCATCCATGGGGCCGAAGACGAAGAATTCCGAGTGGCAGACACGGAGCTGATTGCGAGCGACAATGTCTCGGGGCGGGCGCGCAATAAACGTACTGAGTGTTGCGGAGAAGCCGTCGGTAGCGAAGTCGGTTGCCGGCATCCTTTCCGGCAATCGGGGCCTCCGGACGCGAGAGGGGCGGTCGCGGTACAACAAGATCTTCGAGTTCAGTTACTCCATCCAGGGCCAGCTCTGTAACATGTTCATGACCTCCGTCACCGGCCATCTCATGGAGCTCGAATTCCATGAGCGTTTCCGCAAATGGCATTCATGCGACCCCGCCGACCTCTACCATGCTCCCGTTCTCAAATCCGTCCCTGAGGTATCCCGGAAATCACTTCGTATCTCTTATTTTTCCCTATGCGTATCTACATGTCTATATACATTACCAAGCAGAAACTTGCGCCTATTTTTGCTTTTTGAAGTTAGTTTTGGGTTTTGATGACTTAGGACAAGAAGGACATTAAGAGGACTTTAGAGGAGGAAGCTAGGAGATGTGATTGGCTTGTTCTGTGGCTTGATTGCGATAGGGAAGGAGAGAACATAGCTTTCGAGGTTATAGAAGTTTGCAGAGGGGTGAACCGTAATCTTACTGTGCGAAGGGCTCATTTCTCTGCACTAATTGCCAGGTGAACGAGGAACAAGGCTTTCTTTCTAGGGTTGCTCATTCTGGTTGTTTTTTTGGGATTAATCATTACAAAATCGGGTTCTGGAATTCCAGGGAAATCCATGAAGCAGCCCAGAATCTTAAAGATCCTAATCAATGGTTTGCTGATGCAGTAGATGCTAGGCAAGTGAGTATCTTCTGCTAACTCAGGCAGGAGTCTACTATTTCCCTTACCGTCTCCGTGGAGTTTGTTTATAAGATTTTCACCTCATCCTACACTTGTTTGGATTTGAAATTATTGTTTCCACTTGCTCATGCATTTGGTCATTATCTCTAAAGACATGTTTCCTTTAACACTGAGTGATTGCTGCTTGCTGTATTAACATTTCGTTGTCGACCCAGTAATAAAATTGATTGTTTATTTGTTATTTTCGTAGGAGATAGATCTCCGGATTGGTGCTTCTTTCACTAGGTTTCAAACTATGCTGTTAAGAGACAAGTTTGTTATTGATTCTGCTCCAGATGAAAGAAATCTTGTTCTAAGTTATGGTCCTTGCCAGGTATGATAAAAAGCTGTCAGAATCAAATGTAATTGATATAATCTATTTGTATATTGCAGATGGATATACATCATTTATGTGTTTTTCATTGTAGTTTATTTTCCTCTGCAGTTCCCAACACTTGGCTTTGTTGTGGAGCGATACTGGGAGATACAATCACATGAGCCAGAAGAGTTTTGGACAATTAACTGTTCTCACCAATCAGATGAAGGCCTTGCTACTTTTAATTGGATGTAAACTGCAAAGATTCAATACTAATGTTTTCTCATTCAAATTAAAAGTAAAAATAGATTATATTCAAATAATTTTTTATTTTCAGGCGAGGACATCTATTTGATCATACTTGTGCTGTTATAATATATGAGATGTGTGTTCAGGAGCCAACTGCAACAGTAAGTAAAAGTGAAAATTGTGTGCTTGAGAAAAATTCTAATCGTAATGGTAAAACTTCAATTAAGTGTTCAGCCCTTATGATTCTGGATACTATTCAGGTTACAAATGTTCCACAGCCCAAGGAAAGGTTCAAGTATCCTCCCTATCCTTTAAGTACCATTGAACTTGAGAAACGTGCTTCAAGATACTTTCGGATGAGTTCTGAACAGACCATGAAGGTGTGTACTTCTGTTCCGTGTTACAATGCATATTTAATTTTTTTTAATCTGATCTTTCCTTTTTTAGTGTATTTCATATTTGCTCACAGAACAAGTTTGTGAAGTGTGACTCATGATTCATTTGCTTCATATCAGAGTTAATGTACACAATGTTTTTTCACCTTTGAATGACAACTCTGGAAGGGTGCATATGCACCCTCATTTCTTACTGCTTATATGAAGTCATTTCTGACATCTTTGAAGCTCTGTGCTTCATTGAATGCAGTTTCCAATACATTTTGTTTGGTCCCTGCCTTACTACTTTGACATCCCTTTCTGTTCTGAGTAGTCTTGATGGCTGCCTGATTACTTTTTTTTGAGGCAATTTTGTTAAGAGTATAAATAATGGAATTTGGCAATTTTCTATCAGCTTAAAATGTTGATGATTTTAGTATAAGGGATCTCCAGCTTGTCCTTGATTTAAACTTCCAGCCTAACGAGCTGCATTTGAGAATGCATGCTAAGAGTATAATAGATTGAGCTCTTTCTTGTTAGGTTAAACTTTTAGGATAATTAGTAATCCAATTA